TGATCGAATTAAACATTGCGTGAACGGAGCAAACAAATTGACCATGAATCGACCCACCCAAAAGATCCTTCTCTGGATGTCATGGGTGTGAACTTGCAACGGATAAAATCCCCCAGTTCGGCCTCGAGGTCGTAAAGGGAAAGTAAAAGTGACCAGGGAAAGTTGCAGTATCAAGCCACTGGGCTGCATCCATGGGGCTACATCCATGTACAGTATATCATGTATATACACTATATAAATTGAGTGTACAAACCAGGTGGGGCGTAGGGAAACGCCCAGGCAACCCTTTCAACCGGAAGGTGGTAAAAGAAGTATGCCAGATCCCTGGAGGCACGGTCTATGTTTATTATTACACGAGGCGAGTCCGAAGGACGAGACCCCGTGGTTGCAACGAGCCGAGCGGACGGAAGCGCGAGGGCGAACGAACGAAAGGCACGAAAGCGAGCAGAGTGCGGAAGCACGAAGGCGACGAAGGTGTGTGGCCCACACAGTGGACACAACACGGCACCCTGAAAGAAAAGGCGGGTGCGCCTTTTCCTTGAGCCAATGTGGTAGCGGAAAGGCATACATCGTTTGATGTACACATGGTGAACCGCTACAACTGAATGGACATGTAGTGAATGCTGTTACATACTAGGGGTTCACAGAAAATGACTATATATATACACATTGTATTCTACGCCCAGGGAGGGACAAGACTAATGAATTGGCACGCGTGATTTCCCATGTCACCCTTGGGTGACAGGCGTTCTTCTCCTCAACACGCTTCTTTTCGGGGGCTGCTAGGGGTCCGACCAACGCCTCCCGAGAAGACCAAAAAAAGAAGGATACCAAACAAAGACGTGCAGTAACTCTTTCTTCCATCGCATTCCAACGCCGGGCCACACCGGTTTTGAGGCTTTTCCCGGCGCTGACTCCGTCCGGGCCAGCTTTGGACTCCCGAGCTTCGATATCATTGCCCACATGGGAACGCTGCGCAGAGACAGACGGCGGTGGAAGCGCGGAATTGGAATCCGTTTCAAAGCCACAGTCCTGAGGCAGGACACGTCATGGTTTGGAAAAAATTCAATGACAGTGTAACATGATGCCTTATAATATGTATACAAACAGTAATGATATAATATATAATAGACAAATTGCTTACAAATGCGATGTATATAGTTTTGCCTATATGTATATATGCTGTCCATAGGTTTTGAAGTGGTTTTAAGAGAATGAATGCAAAGCAGTTTCGATGATACCATCTTGCTGGTCCAGGAATCACTTAATTTCTAGGACTGGTGGAGGTAAGATTTGGAAGTGTTGGGCAGTTTATGGGAATGTCCCATTGAACCAATTCATTCTTCACAAGCCAATCACAAGCCAATCCCTCATGATGTGTGGGAAGCAACCATTTCGTCATCGGTCGCCCGTGTCACCCAGCAAAGACGAGGAGTCGCGAACCGTCGAACCGTCGATGGAGTGGATCGCGATGGAGGGGCAACAACATGGCTGTGAGTGTCAAAGACAAAGCAAAATCAGCAAACGAGGCATGTTTAGAGTCATTTTGCTGTCTGATTTTGCAAACGAGCCATTCAAAAGCTGAGAGGAGCCACCAAGAAGCTTGTCTCACTCGCATTGAAAAAAGTATAGTACACTAGTACACTATCCGGGAGCAATATCAAGGGACAAAGTAAAGGACTTGCACAAATAAACCGCATTCATTCACATGTTTGTTTGCTTGGAAACGCAATTGAGATACAAACACCCGTAGCGGTGTATGCAGGCCCGGATGTCCGGGGTGCCTTGTTGCGTGACATAATAGTAGATAGTATAACTTTGGACGGATATTTTTCCGATGATGACGCATCAATAACGCTGTTCTGCGCCATTGCCCATGTTTGTACCATCGTACCCCATGCATATCAGCCAAACACAGGACGAGAGATTGGAAGCTTGCAATACTTTTGAAGGAGTTCTAACTTGTGTTGCATTTTTGAACCCACAGGCCAGAAGATGGCGTGGTTTGAACTTTGCTGTTTCCAAGCCACCTGGGTTGCAGTTCTGAGCTGTGACATTTGCCAGCTGCAGGTCAAGTTGGAAACCAGATCAGAAATGCTTTCCTTTCTGTTTCTGCTCTTCTTTGTTTATTTCAACTTTGTCTGTTGTTGTGAAAGTGTGGGAGTGCAGCACACTGATGGCATCTACAAGCGTCTTTGCAAGGAGCAACTGTTTTGAGAACAGTCTTGCTTGTGTCTTAGAGCTTTGCACGGTGTTTGTTTGTTTTTTTAGAACTTTGAGTTTGAAGTGTTTTGGAGAGCTTTGTAGAGCATAGCTCATGGAATGCAGTGTGTTTAGCTTGGTGAAGAGCCCCGAGCTGAGTCCTGGTGCCTTGAGGGGCGAAACAAGAACAACATCCGTGCCCTGAAAAAGGCCTAGGCGGCCTAGACACATGTCTCTTGAGGGAAACAGTGTTCTTTTCACATCTTTCCTTTGCAGTTTTTGTTGTGCTTCTAGCCGATTGAACCTACCCGGGGTGTCCACACGCTTCAACACAAATGCTCAACGAATGGAGACCTGGACATATCAACTCAAGAATCCATCAGAAAACAGGAAACAACACGTTTCAAACACACATCATATGGATGTGTAATAGGGAGACCCCCTGGCTCAATGGGTAGACTGGTCATGACTGGTCTATTTATCTTTTTCCAGGGGCTCTTTGGGAGGCACACCCATGCCATATGGACCAGGAAACCACTGAGCTATGACCAAGAAACTGGCTTTTGCGGCATGCCCAAGTGGCCAAGCAGGCAGCCTTGGTGACATGTTGAGTCACTTGAGCCGTGCCAAGAAGCTGGTGGAAATATGATGAAATCCCTTTGCACTGGTAAGAGCATATATCAATATAAATCAATATAGATAAATTGTAGTCCCTACCAGTTACCAGACAAAGTTCAGTCATGTTCAGTCTCATGCCCTGGTCAATGAGTCATTCAAAGCTGAAATGGGCCACGTAAAGCATTCAAGTAATAGTCGAACAGTTTGATGTTGGAAGAGCTGCAAGTTTCAGGATTTGCAGCAAAGTCATGACGAAGCTCCGCAAAAATGCGACGAGTAAGGAGGACGAACGGAACTACGCATTCCCAATCCCTGAATTCGCCAGGTTGGGCCCCAAGTGATGAAAGCAACACATGCTGGGCATCTTGGCAATAAGTGTTAGCATACCAGAATGGACTCCTCTGGTTTTCAGAATGAAATCTGGGATTTGCTTGAGGAACAAACAAAATAATGAACAACATTCCCCAGAAGTGATTTTCCCACAGGGGAAAAAATAACCTTAAGCAAAACCAGGGAATTGATTGACTGTTACATCATCGTCTAATCTCGACAGCACAAAGACAAACAAATCAAAATACTTGAAACCAGGGCACCGGCACGGCTGACGTACGTGACGTCGCTGCTTGCCGGTCGGCTCATGTGAATTGTGTGCGCACAAGCCACAAGTCTCGAACCAAAATGCTGCAAACTCAATGGCCTTCCTCCACTCACACTCCCCAGACTCCCCAGAACTCCACCCACACCCTCAGCAGGTACTCTAGTTAGACCTCCCAAACTCACCCCAACCACATTGAAAACAAAGGTGGTTGGAGCCCTAGAGGGTCTTCTTCCGTTCACACTATGAATTATGTCAAAATGATCTTCTGAACACCCAGCTTCTCGAGCTCGTTCTGCTCCCTTGCCTGACGGTTCCTTTTTTTGGAGTTACATTTAGTTACCATCAATGCACAAATCCCAGGTTCTTCTCCGGTCGCTTTCCCAAGGCACCAAGGCCATGTCCAATCGCGCCGTCCCGAATAAAAGGCCAGTGAAAACCCGTCGTGGCCGGAAGAAAAGGGGCAATCCCGTGTTCGCTTCTGGTGTTCCAAACCAATGAAGTGCCCCACCCCAAACAATGAACACGTCATTTCACTGTGGAATCCATCAGGTAAATTCCGAATGCTTTTTGAGGCGTGTTTTGGAATTCCATAGGAACGCCCACATCGAAAAAAACCATGAAGACATACTAACCGGACGCACCGCGCAACTGGGTAACCGGGTAACCGTGCATACCAATGGTTCCGTTTTCGCCAGAGTAAATGGCCCAACTGTTGGCGTCAAATGCACCAGGTTGGGAAGATTTCATAGAGCAAATTGAAGCTAGAAACCTGGCTGTGTCCAAATCAATACCTTGGTTGACCAAAAAAGAACCTGCGAGTAGGTGGTGGACTGGTGCTGAGTCAGGCTCCGTATTTCACGACCCATTCGTCTTCATCTTCCACCGCGACGCGACGCTGCGACCGACGCTGCGCAGCGACCGACCGTGTTTAGGCCATGTCCCGGATTGTCCCGGAGGGTCCCGGTGTCACACCGGTGAAAACCAAACAACAAACACATCGAGACTGAGAAGGTGGGGTTTTGGTTCATGCTGCCGAGTCTTCACTTCTTTTTCACACCTGGGTCATTGAACATGGGCGTCCATGGCTTTGCGGCGAAGGGAAACCGATTTGGACGAATTGATCGAATGGACTTCAACAGCGACTACAGCACATCGATCTCAAAACAAAGCGACTACAGCGATTGACTACTTGATGGAACACAGCATTTTTCAGCCTGATCCAGGAGGCAGTGCTTGCATAACATTATTTCACTGCCCGAAAGACAAACACAGGTGAACACAATAAAGAATCTGGTCACCATCCTTAGTGGCTTAGTGGCTGATGATGTAGACAAACAAAACACTTGTAGATCAATTCATTTGTCCTTTTTGAAGGGTGCCCCTTATCTGTCAGGACCTCCGGACCAGCTCTTCACCGCCCTGGCCATGGCAGAAAACTCTTGGATCACATCAACAAGCGCCATGAAGGTGTTCAATCAGATTGGATGCATGGATTGAACACCTGGATTGGATTGGATGCGTCATGAGTGGGAGAGGTCTTGGATTCTGGTTTCCCCGGCCCCACAAACCTGGACCACGGGACCGCAGCGCAGCAAGTCGCCACAGCTGCCCACGAGTCGACCCGACCACAACCTGCACGTGACTTGGCTAAGTCACGTGCTGGCATCAGGGATCGTTCGCATCTTGAGAAGTGGGATTGTTGGATTCAAAGGGAGAAAACTTCCAATGGTTGCCTAAAGCTTCTGAGTGCTCTGAAGCTGCTCATGCTGCTCCCTTCCGCCTCTGATCTCATGTCTGTTCCTCTGACTATGTCATGACACTCGCACATAACGAGACAAGACTTTCTTCAGCACTAGACTCCTCAAAGAGCCGGAGGCAAGTTCTGAAGTTCTGAAGAGTTGCTACAATAGAGTCCACATGAGTCCATTCTTTGGACCTTTTTTTTCAGTTCCTGGGCGTGGAGCGAGTACAATGGACATGCAGCTTGTGTTGCAAGGGTTTGGAAGAGAACTAGAGGCGCCAAAGTCCATACTTGGCATCTATACCTGGAGTCTCAGTTCGTACCTCGGAAAATGGGTACAAGTACCGGTTTTTATGGGGTCATGTCCCATTTTCTGAGGTACTTTGGAGGGTCCAGGTATATATAGAGTATTCCTCCCAAAATTCAAGACTGCCGTCCTTGGGTGCAGTCCTCTATCTTCTCCGGTGCTGAAACCGTGAAACCTGTGTACGCTTGCCTGTGACAGGTTTTGCCAGTTTCGGTCATACACTGACGTGGAGGAACGAGGGTTCACCACCTGGACTTGGTCTTCGGATGAACAATGGTCCTTTCAAGGTTTCATGTTCCATCCACTTCTTCTTTCGGAGTGAAGATTCTTTTGAGTCGTTTCGTCGCGCAGCACACGGTGGCGCTGGACGTTGAAACTGAACTGGTCGCCCAAACGACACGCGAGATGAGACTCGCCACGCGAGACTTCTCGACTCGCGTCGGCAAAAGAAACTCCCAAACGGAGCAGGTCATCGGGTCCTCCAATTGGCTTGGATGTGAGAAGTTGTTTTATATGTGTTCAATATTTTTCTTGTCTTCAGCCGTTCTGGGATGTCTTGGGGTCCCTTTTCTCTCAAAAAAAAGGATCTGTTAGATCAAGTGGCGCACCGATCTCCTTTGAAGCAATCTTGTGTTTCTCTTCTTGATGTCCTTTACAAGACTTCGTTTCTGCCAAGAAGCAAGAAGGCCAAATCATACCAAGGCATGAGTTCTTCGAAGGCCACAAGATCATCCGCCATCTCCTGTATGTTGCTCGCATTTGGCTGTGGGTCAATACACGTTTCCACAAAATATATGGTGGACATCTCTGGCCATAAGTCTTTGGCCGCAAAGAGGCCCTGGTTTAGTGAGGCACGTTGAAAAGAACACATCGGATTTGCTAGCAGATTGACTGCCGGGACCTGTTTCCTTAGAAGAAGAATTCCTGGTCAAATCCAGTGATTTGTTGCATGTTGAAGGGGTGAAATGCACCAATCAAGCTGCCTCTGGTGCAATCTGCCTCCCAGTGAAAAAAACAGTGTCAAGAATGAATTTTACTTAGATTATATGTGAACAAATGGTTGAAGGTTGGAGCTGCACAACTCAACGATCAGCATCCACACACACACACACCCTAATGGCTACCAACGTGAATAACCAGCATCCAACAACATCCAGTAACAACCACCACCAACAACCAACAACTGCCCCAACACCACCGCCACCGCCACCAAGAACAACAGCAACGACCACCACAACGACAACCACAACCACCACGAAACCACGACCCTGTCGGTAGATCTTGGCGACCCTTTGACCCTACCACTCCACTACCGGCCGAAGCACGCCGCGTTGCTTCGCACCTCCCAGTCATCGACGGCATCCAGCGGCTCCCCAGTGGAGCGCTGATGAAACTCCTGCAGCTGCGCGCTGCAGCTGTGGAGCGCTGAGTGGTCCGCTGAGTCGTCATAAAATACTGCAAATGGTATTCGTATGTCTTCTTATAAAGCTCTAGAGCAAAATCATAAGTTTAAGAAACATAAAGAACAGGAATAAATGGGTAGAAATTGGTAGAAACGTCAATCTATGCTCGAGTGACCCCAAAATAGGTGGAAACGCGTGCTTGCATGTGCTTGCTACTCTAAGCTAGCATTGTAGTTAATACGACAATTCTAAATGGGTAGCGCTTGTTTTTCAATGTTTTTCAATGTTATCCATAAATACATGCTTTGTACTGTATATACGTTGATATCCCACCCTCTCTCCAGTCGCTCCAACAATGTAACAATATCGGAAGTTAAGCCGCACGTCGATTCACATCCACCATCCTTTGGTAGCTTCAATATATCTGCACAGGTGGGTCGAAAATCAGGTAAACCTACCAGACCTACAGCAGTATAATCGTATAATCTATCTCCTGAACTGTTGTTTGCACCGTTTTATGGCAAACCAATATGGCAAACCAGGTATAGAGCGAACAATTTCTATTGGTGTTGGTCGAATTGAACGTAGCACTTGATATGAACTGTTGGAACATGTGGAAAATAGGACCATCATGCATTTTTTGCGCAGTACATCATGATTTGGCAAGTTGGTGGTTTCGCCTTTGCAGTCGCAGTCGGCGAGTCACGTCCGGGACGGTCGGTCCTCAATGGCGGCTGAGACGTCATGGACCTGGTGGAGCGCAGACAGACGGCGAGACGTCGTGCTTGTGCTTGTTGCAGTGCGCAGGGCTTGTTCCGTTACTTGTAGATGTTAAGAAGCGCGTTAGATGTCCAATGTGAAGATCAAAGACTGATGTCCATCATATGGGATTAGGCCCCCGATGAAGCGAATCTCACACATGTGGCCGCAAACACACACAGTGTGCATTGCTCGTCTGCTTGTGCGATGCAAAAAAAAGAAGAATCCTGCCCCCAAAACCTGAACACGCGAAAACTGTCGTACACTCTTGACTAATAACCCCACGGACATGGATTGAACAACCTCTTCATATGGGGGGGTCTTAATCAAGAGCCTACCTTAATCGGTTGGTGACACTTTTCGACTTCCGCCGAGCAGGAGCTGCAGCCCAGCAGCCTCATCCAGCCAGCAGTGCGGATGCATCTCAACGAACTCCTGAGAACGTCGCCGTGCTGGTGCCAACATGGAGCCGGGCAAAAACCGTTGTGACAAAGGGCATCGCTACGAACGGAACAAGGACGCTCCGTTCGGGGCTGGTGGCCTTACTACTAGGAGCAAGGACGCTACTAGGAGCAAAGGGCGTCGCTACTAGGAACAAAAAAGCTGCTAGTAGCTCCTTCTTAAGGTGCAGTCATGAACATCAATTTAGCGATCTTTCAGGTCGAGAGAAGCGACCTCAGTCTGAGACCGAGGCTGGGGATCGGAAAAAGTCATGTTCTCTTAGGAGTTGTCCAGGCCCAAAACCACACGATAAGACTCGCCTTGATTGTGGGCGTTGGAACTCTGTCTCCGACAGAGCCACATTTAACCAACAAAACATCGTCACTTGGAGCCACTCCCATGCTCAATCTACATCAACCCCGCCAAAAGATATCTGATCAGGATTGCCCGGAAGCAAATCACTTCAGACATTGTTCCGAATGCCCCAGCTCATTAAAATTGCACCATCAATTCCTTCTTGGCTCGGTCACTTGACCACTAAGTCGGAGTACTGAAGCTGATTGAACGCTCCCGACCTAGGTCCACCCGAATTCCTTGCATTTGCGGCGAACCTGGAATGGATAAAACAAAAACTAACACATATTCACTATTCACCTAGGTTTTGGGATATACCCATAGGGAAATGCTTTGAAAAAAACACCTTCGCCTGACACAGAAAAAAATACGATTCATCTCCCACGCATTTCCAGCCGCCGCGCTCGCTCCGCGCTCCGTGGTCTGCGAAAGGTCCGCCGACACCGCGGTGGACACCGCAGCGTCCGGAGGCCTGGCGACGGTTGAGGACTTCATCGGGGTTAGCATGGTTGCTCCTTGAGAAAGAGAAGCAAAACCCAGACACTCCATGGGACTGCCATATATGCCGATCAGTTGGGGTGGTTTTGGGGGTCAATGTAGGCATATATGGCAGTCCCATGGAGTGTCTGGGACATCAACATCATGCGATCTGAGCTCCTGCAGTGAAGCATGAAACCAACGAGCCAAACAACATCAAACCACATGTCACAGCTTGATGTGATCTTTAAGCATCACCCACCGTAAACCGAGTCGAACGTAGCACAGGATGGTCGGCCATGGATAACTATCCTGGAAGGTGTTTGAACGTATATATGTGTGATCACCGGAACATCACCTACCCGGTTCGCCTACAGAGTAACCCAGGAAGGTCTGCATGCCTCAAAGCCCAGGAGTTTTTCATGGAGTTGCGGCAGGTTCTGGTTTTCGGCAGGGAAACATATTTGACCTGGAAATCGATGCACTTACTGATTCCTTTCTTTTTCTGGAATACTGTCCCTTCCGGGAGTTTGACATCAAAACGATAAAACTTGAAACTGACCGTCCGGGGCAAGCCGATTGTACCCGACCCGTCAGGTTCCCTGTCATCACAAACCTGCCCCCCGGGCGCTTAGCAGTTCTCTGTCATCCGATGATGCCGTGAAGCCGACATGCAAACAAGCCGGAAGGAACTCCGCAGCTTCTGGTGAAGCAGTGGCAGTCTGTGCCGAGATCATGGAACGCCGTCGAAGGAACCAAATGGAACCAGCATCTCACCCAGATGTGAACGAGGCAAATGGAGCCCGTCTCTTTAGCTGGGTGGGAGGGATGATCATAAGTGGTTTGGATGGACACGGATCGCGGCCTGTACGGCCTTCGTGTGTTCCCCAAACACCTGGAGCATGAAGAAATCAAGGCCCCAGGACCAGGTCTTGGGTCAGCAACAGTTGAGTGTTGCTAGTAGGCCTCAAGACTACAGAAGAGCTAAAAACGCATGGCTTTCGTCGCTTTCCACCATGAGTACACCTATATGTACACCTAGTATGTCCATCGGTGCAGTGGTTGACATGGCCTAAGATATAAATGAAGTCCCAAATGGAGTTTGCATACTGCATACTGCGTCTGCGCGGACGCTGCGTTTGTCACACGCCGAAACCAAACTCCTGAGACCAATCCACGGAACGCACGTCCTGAGACGATCTCCTTCGGACGTGGGCCATGCCTCCTCCTCTTTGGCGCTTTGATCAACGCCACGCACGTCCTCAACGGGTGAACCAGGAACGCGGCCATTGGCGGCCAAGAGCTTTTGGCCTCTGGGATAAGCATGGGTATGCATGGATCATCCGAATCATCCGTTAACCTTTCTGTTACAAATTATATACCAGGAGTCACAAGACGGGGTGCCGAACTTGGAGGATAGGGGTGCAAAGCTACTCCACTGACTTAGGGACTAAAAACCACCCGTCTTGTGACTCCTAGCTGGTATATATTACAGTGTAAGTGTGTCATCGTGCACTACTTTAATAGGGAGGCCGGCCTCGGCCGGCCCAGTGGGTAGACCGGTCTCCCATCTGTCTGAGCTAGGGAGACCCATATGTTCAGGTCTCAACGCAGATCAAAACCAACGTCTTTGCAGTTTTGCTTGTTTTGATACTCTCCCTGAAACTAACATGGAAGAGGAAATTCATGGCCCCGAAAGGAAGACCATGTTCCTCCACGAGCAGGTGGTGCCATCCACTTCCATGTGTTTTTGTCGAGGGAGAGTAATTTGTTGAACTCACAGTCTCAGCTAGCAGCTAGACATATCAAACATGCTTGTGAAACCCTAGCTTGTTTTGAACTGTTCAAGTCTCAGCTTCACAGGTCACAGCACTTCGCTTCGTGCGATGCGGACCCTGGCGACTTCGGTGTCCTCGGGACCTTCCGCCCACTCGTCTGGCCTGAAAACTGCACGGGACTCGGACCGAGCCACACGGGACTCGTCTGGTCTGTGTGATTCAACACACAGAGAGGAACGGTGAAGAACACTCTTGGACTGAAACTTCGAATGGGTTGGAATTCCACACCGATGTTCTTATATTACATTCTACTTGACATTGTCGAATTGCGCTTCTATCACATCAGTCAAGAAGGTTCGTGCATACTTCCCCCAACCTTGAGACTTGGGAAACAACGCGCTTGTAAATAAGCATGCTCTGAACGGTCCGTTACACGGATGACTTACTTCTGCGTTGTCCTTCAGTATTTTCGGACGCCCAAAATGACAAATCCTTTTTGACAGTTGCCCAAACGCTAGAGATGTGAACACCTCTTGAGACCCCGAACCCTTCAAGAGATCGACTGGCTGCCTATGTGTCTAAAAGGCTTCAAGATGCTCCAAGGAGGGAATGTTACACCTCTCGTGGTGTTCTTCCAGGTCCCTTCTCCCCACGCCCACCAACATGCCCTGACCTGGAAATGGATGGCAGTCGTAAATCGAAAACCCCAAAGCGAGAGCCACCATGAGCCGAACCAAGCCACGGGACTCGTCTCCAGTCGCGGTCGCCACGCACCGACGACGTGCGGTCGCGTGGCACGGGTGGCGCGGGTGGCGGCGGCGCGGCTGGCGGTGCGGCGCGGCTGGCAGACCTGAGGTGTGGGGACGGAGGAGTCGGGCAAGAACAGGTCAGAGGTGTGGTGGAGCTTCGTTTCAAGCGGTGAAACTGAAGAATCGCGACACCCAAATATGCAGAACTTGATCGAAGCAAGTTCTGAGTTCCGAAGAATTCAGCAGGTGTGGATCAATCAAGGAGAAAGGAGAATTGCAGAACGTTGCCAATCTATCCAATGGTTCCTGTCTAATTGGATGGCGTACAACCCTGAGATGAGAAGGACCTTGAGTTCCTATGTTCGGACTTGGAGGGTCCAGGACGCTGGCAGCCATTGGCATGCTGGCAGCCATGCTGTCAGCCTAGAAGAAGACTGGCTCATGGTGGAGAAAACCAAACTCACTGAAAGGACATGCATTAAACTCCTCACCCAGCTCCACTAACCATGCCAAATGCAGTATCTCAAAAGCTGGCTCTAGAGCCAAAATGGACAAGCTGGAAGATCCAACACAGCCCGAGAGCCCTCCTGGCCAGCCTTTTCTATAAATCATGTCCACATCAGTTCCAAGATGTACGGCTTTAGCTGCAGAATCTTAGGCCCTTTGAGGGTCCTCCATGGATGTATACGTATACGCTTCGAAAGGTACCACCAAAAAAAATGGAGGTCACAAGTGGACTCAAGTGGACCAGGTATTTCAATGTTGTTCCTGTTTGGGGGGATGCAGATGCAGATTACTTGTTTTTGTCCTCAAATCAGTGGCGTACAAAGCCACGAGTTCCGAGTTCGAAAACGTGATCATCCGGTCCAGGACCATCCGTTGCTCGGAGGTTTTCTGCACTGGTTGGGTCCCTCTTCTTCCAGAATGTTTTTAGGGTCGATGATAGCTAGAAGCTACTGGTAGCTAGTGCATCGCTACGAGTAACAAGGGCATATCTACTAGTAGCAAGAAGCTGCTAGTAGCTAAGTGCATTGCTAGTAGTGGCTTCATGCACCTAGTAGCGCCTCCAAAACCATTCTCGGCAGTTACCTAGACCTGGACTGGGAATATGTCATGGCCTGCCGACGATGTCAATGATCATGTCATGGCTGATCATTACAGTCCACGACACGTCGGCGTGACCAGACTGTGCGATGCTTCGCTTTTCCGGTCCCGGTCGGGTCAGGACGCCCAGCTGGGCCCTTGGGCTCTACGGAGCTGAATGGCCCCGGAGGCCCCAAAAGAGGAACAAAGGCGCCAGCGCCCGGTGCTTGGGGTCTGCAGACGAACGCAACCTCAGCCCTTTCAGGCGTCCGGTTGAACTGGGACACTGCCGAGCGGCAGCTGCCGCGTGGACGCTGAGTTGGGTGTCCTGGACGCTGCGACATCGGGGCATTGCCGCATTGCCAGGAGTGATTTTTGTATCTCAAAGATCACACCATCCAAATTGACTGTATTTCTCCGTGAGAGAAAGACTATATATCAACAAAAACCAACGTGCGACAAACTCCACTTTGATGCTGCAGTCTTTTTTTTGATGCTGCCAAGGTCTACGGAAAACAACTACTGTACGTAGTGGTCATTGGAAGGTGAAAAGTAAGAAACGTCTCCCCAGCTTCTTCAAAGTGACCTTTTTGGAGTCCCAAAGTGATCCTTTACAGGCCTGTTGGTGACCTCGAACCAAGGAATCAAGCTCGGTCACTTTGAAGAAACCGGCCCGAGGAAAGTGCCCGTCTCCCGTGGGAGTCTGATATCAAGTACAAAAACAAATTTTGTTCTCAGGCCGTGGCAACAAGACTGACAGTCGGTGTGCATGCATATATAATAATATATACAAGATTATACAAGGACCTTCAAAGTGACCTCTTTGGAGTCTGTAAGTGACCTCTTCAGGGACTAAGTGACCTCAGCCACTGGGATCTCAAGCTAGGTCACGTACTGAAGGTCCTGGTATATGTGTGAATTATACCCTATATATGAGCTAAAGGAGATCATTGACCGTCCCACATGGTCCAAACAGCACGTGTTCCGAACGACGTGCTCCACCCCATCCAGGTCGGACCGGTGTTTCTCCTTCCCCCGTGTCGCTTTGGACGCTCCGGTCACGGCCTTGTGTCCGGTCTCTCTCTGCGCCGCCTTGCTCGGGGCGGGTCCGCGCTCACCGGACGGTGCGAATGGGGCGGTCCGCATCACGGGACTCCAGAAGCTACGAACGTCCGGAGCTGAAAATTCCCGCGGGCCCTCCACCTTTCTCCATCTTCCCGGATGTTTTGGGGACGACAAACTGCTGGATCTTCACACGAAAGACTCAAACAATCGGAAGTGGATGGCCCCCTGGAAAGACCAGGAGTCTTCCGAAATACCAAACAGGTAGAACTCCACGTAACCATGTTTAGAGGGAGGGTAAGTCTAAAACATGATAGAACAAATACATGTTAAAACATAAGCAACACACAAAGGGTGGCTTATAGACCCCCCTGAAGAGTGTATTTTCCATCTAATAACCACCCCTTGGGTGGTGCTATAAACAACACCACCTTGTTCAGTTGTAAAAGCGGACTCGAGCATTACGCACCCTACCGAACTTCAAGACGCGTCTGTGGTCTTCTGAAAGGTTCCAACAGACTCGGATGGCTAGGGCGTTTTATTGGCGCCGCCCTTGGGGTACACCAACACCGCGGATTGTGGTGGATGAGGACAAAGAAAGAGTTCAAACACCGGACCCAAACACAAACTGGCAATGGGACAGCTACCTACCTCAGACCATGTGCCTCTGTGACTCAAGAAACCTAGTAGCATGATGAGGTTCCCAACAAAACACGTGCTGGCAGTGTTGGCACGGTTGTGATCCGCCACTTCCAAAGTGCATGATGCATCCCAGTTACTAAAATTCACACACTGTGTGTACCGCAGAAACAACATGTGTGTTACAACACAACTATACAGAACTACTACTGTAATTATGTGTACCATGTTCCTCAGAAACAACAAAACACACAAAGATCTTCTTGAGCTCCGCGTCGCTCCACCTAGGCCGACCAAGTGGCCAAGCATGAGTGTTCTCTGCTCCCCCAGAGCTTTGCCAGGAAAGATCAACGGCGTACCAGTCCTGAAGGATCCCAGAACGTTCTTGGACGAGGCAAAAGAATGACATCAATCTGACAGAATGAAGAACATCATGTGATATGATGATATGATTTCCATACATGTCCGGACTGGAATATCTCTTTCGCCCCATGAACCCCTGAAATCAAGCCCAATACAGGTATACATGCCAATCCGGGTTCATGTCCGGGTATCATGAAACCAGTCTCCCTGGTGGATTTGTCATGGCCTTGGGTCTCAACCGGCGGCATCCTCCTGGACAGCCAGGTCCACAGCCGACATGGTGTCCGTCAGCGGAGTCGACATGGGAACTTCCTCTCAAGCAATTCTACTATATACAGTGGTTTCAGAGTAGATGGCCACAAACCCCCAATCTGTGTCCTTTTGACCAACATGTCGGACAAAAAAAACGCGACTTTCTCAACCACCTATGTCGGACCAACCTCGCTTGTGGATTGAGGAAAACTCTGATCCCTCGGGCCTCAGACCAACCTCGCAGGACTGAGACATGTCGCCGGAAGAGGTCGGAGGTCGGAGATCGGGAGGTCGGTGGGTGCGACCCACCGGGAGTTCATCGATGGTTTGTTCTTCGGTGCTACGTGCATGCTGGGTGGTCCTCCCTCTTTAGATCTCTTAGCATATGGGAATGCTGAAGCCCTTCGCGAGGGCGAACTCAGCCGAGCAAGGGCGAACTCGGACAGTGGGAGACAAGCAAAGCGTCTGAGTTCGGCCGAGGCTCAGATGGCCAGTCATACCTTGGAGGGCTGCTGGCTCGGATGATGGCACTGGCGAGACAGTGCAGTACTTGCCAAACATGGAAGATCTTGTAGCCAGACATGAACCCACGGGGACTGGCATATATACCAATCAGTTGGGGGGGGTTGTTTGAGGGATCAATGAGGCATATAATCTATATCATAAAGCAAACCATCCAATTAACAGCAATATTAAACAAACAAACACGAGATCACAGTTTCCATTGATTTCAATATGTGGCGCATGCAATATCATTCATATATATATATATATATGAAAATGAATTGACCAAAACACAATTGATGCAGAATTAGATCGAAGCAAAAGAGTTCCGATTACATGCGATCGGCTTCAATAAGCCAAACAAGGAGAGAGTCTCGACTCGAAGTGCCCCCCGTCACGTCGCCCTGTTTGCGGCAGGTGATCGAAGGCATCGTCCAAAAACTTGCCTTTTGGCACCTAATGACAAACGAGCAGGATCTGCTAAAAGGTCCATCAGATCATCTCCATCGGCCTGACTGGTGCTCACAGATTTGGATCACATGGTGGAACCGTTTTGGATCCTAACCTCTGTACCGAACGAAGGTCTGACCGAAGGCGATGACATCTCCAAGCCACCAGCTGTTCCATCCCCAGTCATTCCACCAGCCTGCGCAATCGGGGCGGACGAACCCTTTGCCATGTCCTTTTTTGGACGCTATGAACCCCAAAGGATTCCAAAGGGCATTCTCAGGGTGCCACTCGGCGGAAAAAGGAGTCTGCCAATAGACCCACCTTCCAAGGGGTCACCAATGGAAGCCTTGACACGACATATGGATCTCCATTGGACACCTCTTGGAAGGTCCAGGTAGGTTCCTTTTGGAAGGGTCAAGAGACCTTTATGGCCTTCTTTCCGTCCCTTCCTGTCCCTGTTGTGCCACTTTGATTCGCTGCCGGACTTGCTTTTGAGACTTTTTCCCCCTGGGAATGCCGCAGGAGAGACGGGGCGCCTCGGGGCAACTGCGATCGTATCCCCTCAGACTCCCAAGCCGACGTGCGAGGATTCCAAACTTCTCCTCAAACAATCCCAAAGCATCCGAGGTCAAGGAATGACTTCCAGGTACTGTTGTATCATGTATACGTTATATAACGTTATATATTATAATATATAGCCTCAATAGGGTTTCTGAGATATTTGCTGCCACTCTTTTGCAAACTCATGCAGTGTTTTGACCCACCTAAACCTGACTGCTGAAAGTCAAGTCAAAAACATCGGAACAATCCGGTTCCGCCTCTTGCTCTGGGAGAAACAAAGCTGAACAAATGCACAACAACCCTAGAGATCCAAGTATTCTGAGCAGGTACTTGGATCCCTAGGGCAGCATCTGACTTGTTGAAACAGCGGTTCTTCACTGCCGCGAACTTCATCTCTCAGATTCTTACCCCCCCGCCACCTCCCTTCAGCTTGGCAACAGCCCACCTTTCGCACGCCGCACGTCCCGGCTGTGCATGTCCCCGGACGCGACGCGGAACCGGGTTCCCCCCCCGCGCGTCACCCGGCTGAAGCCCGTCGGTGGGTGGTGGCCTGAGTGTCCAGAACTTCCAGCCTGGCATTTCACGGTGCCAAGTCCGTCGCACGAGGCGTTTTCGGAAGCGGTGTGCCTGGAAACACGGGTCGTGCGATGGGTCATCATGGGTCACATGGGTCACACAAACATAGAAGAAATGAGTCACGATGTGAAACATAACTCACAGGCAAAAATCATCGGTGATTCACTTGTTGGTATATGTTTTGGAATTAAGAATATGGAATTACTGTGAGCTACCACTGGATACCACTGGTTTTTTTACTTTTACCATCTGTGCACACCCGAACATCATAACTATGTAACCGCGGGTATTTTGCGATAGTTCCTTGGGGATGCTCTTAAGAACTCGGGGGTGGTTTTCGGGCTAAGCCCGTACTAGACCCATATTTAATTCGTACTGATCCCCGTATGTTAGCATACGGTTTGGGAAACCTCGGGTTTCCTTCAGAAACCGTGGGTTTTTTCCATCGACCCTACAAATGTGAGGTCCTCAATAGCATCAACTACGAAACCAGGTAATTCGTTCCATGAGACAACCTGTTGCATGAATTGTGGAACATATTGACGCTGCAGAAGTCCTTGTTGCGGGCCGTGACATCATGTTGAAGCTGTGTTTCCTTTAGCAGGCCTGACAATGAATTTGCCACGGCCAAAACATGGTAGAATAACCCTTGTGTTAGATGGTCGATGGTTGTTATAGTCGCGCTAAAACCATCCATTTGCGCATTTGGGGGTGTGGCCGTTGCTTATATGAAACGCGAGCTACATGATCCCTGGATTCTTGGATTTTGTTGGTAGGAATCCCAACAAAGGAAAACGACAACGACAAGGACGCCTTGAGCTATTCAATCGAATTCTCTCAGAAATTGTTCAAGATTCCCAAACCAATATCAACCAGGACCTTCCAGTGACATTTTCGGAGTCCCATCCAGTGACCTGTTACAAGCCTGTTCGTGACCTCAAACCAGGGGATCAAGCTCGGTCACTGGGAAGATCCAGGAACCAATTGTTTCATTGTGGACTCCTGAAAGTTTCACCATCTACCAGTCCGGTAGATTTCTCACAGTCGTCTCCTGAAACTGTTTCAGGGAATCTCTGCGCATCTCTCCCCTCTCTCCACTTCGAACTCAGCAGGTCCAACCAAGCCTTGCCACCCTTGCCCTTCCCCTGCGCGCAATTCCCATCATGTGAGCGCATGGGATCACATGGGACTTTTTCATGGTACGTGGAAAACGTCTCCCCTGAGTACCAACGACGCGAAATGGCAACCAACACATTTGACATGGTTTGTTGTTCTTTTCCAGCTGCACAAAAAAGAGCATGCATCAACTATAGTATCACCAATCACTATAGTATCCGGTGGCCTTCAGGATGTCAGGAGGGGGTCTATTATAAAATGCTACCATGTTATAGTAACCACCCCTTGGGTGGTCCTGGTAGATATTACTAAATATAATATATAGCGCGTGAAAGTCAATAGAATAAACACAAACAACATCCTTGATTTCATACACCAACCTTCCATGCGAAAAAAAAAGGTTACACTCAGACTACTCAGGGATCTCAATGGGACTGCCCGAAAGGATGCTCAGAGTACACTCGGAACCTTCATGGAAGTGAACAACCCACTTATTTGTAGAGGAAAATCGTCATCCAAGGGGCTATGCACGTAGTCATGATGAGTCGTGCAGGGTAGCCCAGCCAGGACACCCAGACAGGAAATTTCTTGGTATACATCCCTGGTGCATAATTGTCCTTCTGGAGACCCACCGCCCACGTCGATCGCCACCTTGCGTCGCTCGCTCATGGCGGAACATCACTTCCGTGGTTCACCGAGTGGCTTGCAGGGGCGGCTTCGGATTTGCTTCGTTTCAGTTGGCACCGATTTCACGGCTGTACTGTGGTTTTCTCTGGAGAAAGAGAGGAGAGAGAAAACCACGATCTTGTGAAGTCTTTGAGTTCAGTTTTGTCAAGAAATCCATGCTCTCGCTGTTCTGGTCTTTGGTCCAGGACGGACGTCAGCTTTAGTCAAACCTCACCCAGGTGCCAGGATCCTTTTCCTTTCTGCTGATTGGTGGCTGAGTTACTCAATTGAAAGAGCATTAGTCACTGGCTTCAATCATCCCAAGTAAAACTCAAAAATTGAGATATCCGAAGCCGAAACCATTACCGTAGCCCAGTTTTCCGAGAGCTTGATCTTGGTCAATCGACCACGGTGCGAAGATCTTTATGAAGATCTTTAAAACAATGGGCACGTGTGTTCTTCTAGAAGGGAGCTTTTCCTCATGGTCAATGATTCTGGTTTTAATATGTTTTAATGATATTTTTGCCAATACAGTGATCACCTCGTGCGTCACGCCTTTTCTTCTACCACGGTGCAACTCATGAACATCGATCATCTCTGCATATCCAGCTCGAGCCGCAAGAGCGACGCGAAGAATTAAAAGTCCCGTCTGCCGTCTGCCCGTCTTTATAGCAAAATCACCGCAGGTTGCAGAGGAAGAATTGCACATGTTGACAAGAATTGATATCAATTGATAAGCCCAAACGCTCATGGACCCTCATATGGAGGGGTCGGACCTTCATATGGAGGGGTCTGGGCTCGAACCAATCCTTAGGCTTTGAGGGACCAGGAAAGGGCTGTGAACAGAGCGTCTGGGAGGGAGAAAACAACACGTACCGATCGTCGGAGTCAAAGGATGTCTAAAACGTGTCAAGGTGATCGAGGCGATCGTCGGGAACGGACGTGTCTGTTTTCCGACTCTGGGGTCCAGTGAGGTGGTCTGTTTTGAGGACTCCAAGTCTCCATGTCTCCAGCGTCACCACGTGCACCGCGTCCGGGAAAACGCTCCACACGCTCTTCCCCGCGTCGGCTTCCGAGGCCGTCGGTTCGCTTGGACGCTCCACGGATTCCGAATCACGTCGCTTAGCTCCGCCTTGGAACCCAAGAAGCTGCCCCCAGCTTGGATGATCCAGCCCTGATGAAGCTCTCCCAGCCTAGGGCGCGGCAGCGTCGCGGCAGCGTCGCGGCGCTTGGTCCAGGCAGCGTGCGTGGCGGCTTTTGGGTTGGAGAAGACGAGAAGATGGGATTTCGCCGGGTTGTGAAGTGCCTCAGACCACCTCCGACTATCTGGCCAATGAACAAATAATGTTTGTCATGTTCTTTTCCGTTGTTTAATACTGTACTAAGGAATGCAGCATCAAGAACATTGCCTCATGGACAAACAAACCATGTCCTCTACAAAACTTACTGAAGAGGTGTTACTCAGTTGTATACTCATACCTCCCAAGTGCCAGGGCTCCCGCCCGTCTAGCGCATCCGTCTGGTCACCAACATGTTGTTCTGCAGTACGACGCTCAGGTGAGTTTTGCTGAGTAACGGTCAGTTGTGGGCGATTAATTCGTGGAAAGGCCCATGTTCACTGGTGCCTGCCTGCCTGCCTGGTGCCTTTTCCATCCTTTCCTTTGAAGGCCTCCTGCCAGTTCAGCCCAGCGTTCCGACCCCCCCCGAACACGGCCCCGAGCACGTTTTGTGCGGAGCTGCCAACACCCGGTGGGCTTAGGGCCATCTTTCAAGTGGACTCATGGTCTCCAGGCCCCTGCTAGGGCCCTGCTGGTCACACATGAGGCGTTCAGGGTTTTCTTGCACTTTATCTTTGCAGGGAGTCAGAGACAACTGAGATGGTATTTTTCTAGATCCTCAAGCACAAACAGGGTATCACATTGTGGGGGGGAGCAAGACAACAATGGAACAAGCATCACTTTGTTTGGAGTTGTCAAAGCTCTATCTACTTGTCCGGATAACGAATAAAGACAATCAGTCATACAATCATAACATAAACGTCATAAACAAACAGGAAACATAAACCAAAAACACAAAGGCATCAAGCCACGCAGCCACAATGCCACACTTCTTCCCAAAAGTGGCCCTCCAAGCGGCGCTTGCACGGCCATGGAGGGTGAGTCTTTCCCCGAGACGTTCTTCACCACTGCATACCTGGCGCACCGAGGAGGGCTCGGGGAATGTGGCGGTGGGCCTCCGTTGGCCTCCGTCCAGTCTCGTTCATGTCGGTACCCTAGGGCTCCTGGCCGATATCGTCAGGAGGTGGGCACAGACCCCCCTGGCACCCACCCCAACCATCTTCGAAACGGAGGTGGGCCAGGAGCCCTAGGGGTATGTCGGGGTCAGTCCCTCTCGAGAATCGGTTGGATGATGGGTGAGAGAAACTCTCGAAGTGCATAATAGAGATGCAATATTGGAAAAAGGAGTCCCATCATGTATACCTATCAAACTGTTGACCAAACTACCTGCTCTATCAAGTTTCTAACGAGTTTTGAGAGCGTATAACTTCCATCTGATTTTTTCTTGGCCACTTTGATCCAACACCTGGTCCATACCTGTACCCTCCAGAGACGCTGTTTTTTCACGTGGAGTAAGTTTTTGGGATTCACTCAAAAAAACAGTTCAGGGCCTAAGTGGGTGCATCTCGCCAAAAACCAACGGGGAAGAAGAGACCTCCCAGCTACTTTCGAGGTAGAAACAGCCTCAAACCCCGCATCTAAAGCACTAAAGGATTAGTCTTAACTGGAACTGCACAGTGTTCTTTTCCAACAGGGGACCTTCCACAGTCGCTTCAAAGCTCCTGAGCATGCGAGGGTTCCTCTTGATAGCAAACCTTCATCAAGGGATATTTTGGGGCGCACTTGAAGAAAAGCTGTGTTCAGGGCTCCAGGTACACAAGCAACTCCTAGCAGCTAGCAAACAAGCATGTCACAGGACTAGGCCCATCTGATGATTGCAATCTCTTCTACCAAAAAACATCAGGAGGTACTTCTCCCACTATCCAGGACCTGTCATGCATTGGCCCCAGTGGTGTTTCAATCCGCCACTCAATCCAAACAGGGATCCTCTGCATCCACATCATGCAGCGTCCAGTGCCGAAAAAGGCGTCTGTGGAAAGGAAGAATGATCTCCAAGCTGAAGTCTAAACTATCATTACATGCAGTCATGCAGTATCACATATTTCTGGTCCCAAAAACCTTCTCAAACCTCCTTCTTCCAGGTGGACGAGATTCCAACCACGCACGACGTCGCGTTCCAAAACGACGTGTCGCGTGGACGAGCTCCCGGCGCACTCGGAGCGTGGCACTTGGAGAGCCACCACGCTCCTGAAGAACGAATATCAGTGGCAGGCAGGTGGTAGGAACGGCGCGGAACGCGCGGATCGTGCGGTTTGGTTCAGCTGTTGTGCGAAGTCTGCGGATCGTGGCCTTCAAATCGTCCGTTCGATTGTGGAACGTATATTACAACTTCCATCCATTTCCATGTTATTATGTTGATTTACTTACAGGCAAATGAGAGAGGCAACAACTCCCTAGCTGGTTCAAACTCTAGTCATTTGAGATCCCGAAGTCACTCCAGCCTCGAGCCGTGTCACTTGGAAACCCCTGGGTTCATCGAACGCCGGTCTCCCGTCGCGGTCAAAATGACGTCAGCCACGGCCGAAGTGACTTGGCTGAGCGGAGCGACGGCGTGGATGGGTGGCACTTCGAACTGTCCTGGAGGCCTGGAAGGCATCGAAAATGAAGACCTCCAAGCGCCGGGCATTCTTCTCCTGCTTTGGTGGTTCAACCTCACATCAGACGTAGCCGTAGCCGGTGGCGCAGTTGCGCTTGGAATCTGCAGCCTAGGAAAGCAGAAAAAAAACCAGTCACCCTGATTGACTTAGTGACATACCTCTCCATCTCCACATGTCTCCATGTCGTTTTGCTGCAGAAATCAATTTATAGGCAAACTCAACTTCGACAAATGACACCTCCCTCACCACTGTCAGATTCAACACTACCTTCGAAGCTACGACAGGAAAGTGTCGAACACAGGACCACCCTCAATCGGCGATGTGGATCCATAAGATCCATAAGGACTCTCCTTGGTATCCCAACGGGGACTCTCTACCCTAGTAGCGATGGCCTCAAACCTAATAGCGATGCCAGCGATGGCCTCCTAGTAAGGTCCTATAGTAGGTCCTATAGTATAGTGATGGCGATGGCCTCCAACCTAATAGCGATGGCCTCCACCCTAGTTGTGGATCCATAGAGTCTCTCCTTGGGATCCCAACTTTGTGACCGAGCTTCAGGTCGATGTACGGCACCGACTGGCACTTTTTGTGTGGCGCGATCCACGGCGAACCCGCGCGACGCACGTTGGGTCGATCGCAGCGCGTGATCTGCGGAGTCAAAACCGTCCAAGAACATGTGGTTGGAGGTCCGAGGTAGGGCAATCGGTCGATATCCTGGAAAACCGGTTTCCCAGTCAGAGTTTAACATGCACGTTTTTCAAGGAAGCATCCATTTCGTGGTTTGTGTTGCAAGGCAGGAGTGATAAAACGGGCTATAGTGAGATTCGCTACATTCGAGGGCCCCTTAGGAGACTTGTGGATTTCTATGGATCTTTGACCTACTGACAATCGATGCCCTCACAAGAAAAGCTTCAAATTAAAGACAGAACATGATGTGACCCTGTTTCTGTTGTCTGATTTCCCCTCCTTGATGACTTGATATTACGTACTTGTATATATTTACTCCTCCTGCATGAAGATTCCCTAATAATTGACCATATGTCACACTCAAAGTTGCTAACTATAAAGGACACCCATGCGACGTCTTACGGCATACTGGACCACGTGTTCTTGGGAGCGGTTATAATAATAGGTTGCTGACAACTGCCCCTCAAACACATGGCAGTGGGTCAGAACCTAGAGCCCTGAACCCTCCTGGGCTGACCTCCTCAGCAGTTGATTCTGTTCA